GATAGATAGATAGATAGATAGATAGATAGATAGATAGATAGATAGATAGATAGATAGTAGGGCTGGGCATAATCGTATCGTGTGCGATTAATCGTCAGAAAAACATTAATCGATTAATTTTTGGCAGTTGACAATTAATACGATTAATGCCACCTGGCAGACTAACCGCTTGGTGTTCCTCTCTGATTCAAATATGACCAACATTTAAAACAATTGTGTAATTTATTTATCTATCAACACAATTTAAACTTTGATGTATAGCCTGAAGTCTGTAATTTTGACACAATTTGGAACAGATTTTTTACGAAGAGCCAATTTTCTCCCTATAAATTGGTCATGTGACTAGGATATAAGGGTGTCCAGGGACTCTGGGGGATTAATCATCAAATTAATCGTTATCGGCTAAATACCACAATTAATCGTGATTATTTTTTGCCAATATTTCCCAACCCTAATAGATAGATAGATAGATAGATAGATAGATAGATAGATAAGGGCAGCACGGTAGCTCAGTTGGTAGAGCTGATGCCTCTCAGCAAGAAGGTCTCTAGGTCAAATCCCAGCTGGGGACCTTTCTGGGTAGAGTTTGCATGTGTGGGTTTTATCAGGACACTCCAACTTCCTCCCGCAGACCAAAACCATGGTTAATTGGTAACACTAAATTGTCCCTAAGTGTGAGAGAGTGAATGGTTGTCTGTTTTGTTTGTCTCTATGTGGCCCTGTGATGGACTTGCGACCTGTCCAGGGTGTACCCTGCCCCTCGCACAGTGACTGCTGGATATGGGCACCAGTGACCCCGAAAGGAAGAAGCTGTTATAATGGATGGATGGATGCCTAAAACAAGAATGTTAATGCATTCGCATAATGTATTTATGGAACAGATTGAAAGATAATTTTACATTTTGGTATGGTTTTGTGTTCCATCCTGTGGCAATTGTTTTACATTTTAATGCAAATATTAAGCAAGTGCATATTCTTGAGGCAAACATGAAGTCTTCAGCAAGTATATAAACCTCAACTGTCAGCTGGTGAAGGAAGATGACTTTACAGCAGATTAATGATCCACCTTGTAAATCCACGATAGACAATCTCTGTTCTCTATTGAAAGTTTTGGTTCACTGACTATCATACCGTCATCATAAAATCATTGAACAGTGACTTTATGAAGCTTACTGTCAAACTGCCACAATATGCCACAGATGTATTTAGACTTTTTTTCTTGTATGTCAAATCCAAAAAAAAAAAAGCACATGTAAAAAGTTAAGTTTTGTAATGCAGTTGCACAGTTACATTGCACAGATATTGGGTAGAATGATGGGAAAGTTACAGCTTACTATAACTTAGGAATAGCAAATGTAACATGGCTGTTGTAAAACCGCCCTGGGCAACTTTTTTTTCCCAAAAAAATTAAAAATAAATAAAAATCACTTTTTGATGGCAACACAAAGGGATAAATCAAAGATACAGTAAATGCTAATGGAGTTGGCAATACTCTGACTCTGATCTTTTTGCTTTAGACTCTTTGCTCTTGTGAGTTTGAACCTAAAAAATAGATATAGTAATCCCTGCTGAGAAAGTCAGAGTAATGACTCAGCGGTTTGAGCAGATGTTCTAAGTCTCGACTGCAGAGGCTTTGATTCAGACTCTGAGAAAAGATATTTTTTTACTATCTTTTCACTATTTTGTTCTCCAAGAACTGTCATCATAAAATCAGGGCTTTAAAAAACATAAAAAATCTTAATTCAAAGTAAATCTCACCAAAATAAAAAAAAGATAAATCTATTATACTCCGTTAATCCCCAGCAGGTTAATTCGTTCTCTGCCTTTCATCGTTCCTAAACATGTTGTACTGGTCTAGGAATTCAATCCTTCAACCACCCAATCAGAGGCTCAACTTCTCTAGTCTCTACACCACCACTCCAGTTTTTAATATAGGTTTTGAGTTTATTTTACTGTTTTGTGTAAAAACATTTTAACTCCGATGCAACACTTACTGTTTACCCTACCTGACAGAAACAAAGATCTGATCGTATGTTGTGGTGCAGCCTGGTATTTTTGTACTGAAGTAACTTGCTAAAATAAAAGTATTGATCAAATAATTTTAGCGTCAATACGTTACTATCATACATTTCTGTGGAGTCCGTGTCTTTGGTCCAGGACATGGAAAATTAAAAGAAAAAAGACAAAGCAAATAGACGTCTGTTCTGTAGCTGAAGACGTGTGGAGGTACAAGATTTAAGTGTCATTATTATTGAATCAATTTGCTCACCCCCACCTCACTGATGTAAAAGTCAGATAAAATGCCTTCAGATGAGGCCGCTTTGAAAAACATTAGGTTATGTATCCGATTCAGTACCACATACTGAAAAGACATGGGTCGGCTTTGAAAAACATCTGATTTATCACGTTCAGATTGTCAGGGGGAAATTTTGATTAAGGTCACATGGGGTAAAAAAAAAACTGATTTGAATTTGCACTTGCCAACAGTGTGAATGTAGCCTTAGGCATTTTTTTTGGAAGGTGGCAAAGTGTTTCACTAACCCTGGTTTAAAGTGGCAGGTTCAGATATAAAGACTAAACCCAACAAGCTTGTCAGATAATTATTTAAATTGTACTTGAGTAGCATTTATTTATATTTTTATTTTTACTCCACTATACAGTATCTTCACAGTAAAATCATACTTTTTACGCCACTACGTTTACTAGTCCCTGCTTTTTTGGCTCTGTTTGTGTAGTTTGCATCTATTTTGTTTGGCAGACACACTGTAAAATTACACACTACACCCCTGTACAGTAGGTGATGATAAGTAGCTTTAAACTGGGTGCAAGGAGAAGAAGATTTTTTGTCCTACTGGTGTTTCCTTATAAGTACCCTATAAGCTATATTAAACATGTTTCAGCATTATTGTGGGTCTTTGTTTAGATGATCAGTCCTCATTAGTCCCCTTTGTCCTTATAATGGATTTCTACCAAATAAACTTTGATAAATTGTTTTCTACAAAAGTGTTTCTAGTTTATTGCAACAAATACAATTTTCAATTCAGCAAACTAGTATAAATAATTAAAAAAGCTCAGTGTGAAATGCTTCCCCTAAAGCTTAGATTCAGAGCTCCTTAATTAGTCACTTAAATACTAGGTCCTAAAAAATACTTTTCCAAGTTTTGTCCTTGAAGTGGTGACTATAAAGAAACTAACTAGCCTGTCAGTTCTTGTAAAAACAGTGTAATTAGAAAGATACCATATAGGTTTCAGGGGTGCAGGGGGTAGGCGGTCACCCTGCAACCAGTGCGTCGCCAGTTCAAATCCCTGTCTGAGCACATACTGTTGTTGTGTCTCTGGGCAAGACACATATCCCAGCATTCGCATGCATAAATACATTGATCAAAAATACAAATGCAACAAATTTGTTTTTGCTCCCAATTTTCATGAGCTGAACTCAAAGATTGGTGACTTTTTCTAGGTACACCTTCTTCCTTCTAACATTCCGAAATTTGTGTAAATCTGTGTTTAGGGGGTACGTCTTCTTTGCAGAGATAATCCATCCCACCTCACAGGTGTGGCATATCAAGATGCTGATTAAGCAGCATGGTTGTTGCACAGGTGTGCCTTAGGTGGGTCACAGTGGAAGACCACTCTGCAATGTGCTGTTTTATCACACACAGTACAATGCCACAGATGTCGCAAGTTTTGAGTTAGCATGCAGTTGGCATGCTGACTGCAGGGATGTCGACCAGAGCCATTGCCTGTGAACTGAATGTTCCTTCCTTTACCATAAGCCGTTTTCAGATCATTTGTCAGTACATCCAACCAGCCTCACAGTGACAGACCACGTGTAACCACAGCAACCCAGGACCTTCACATCCAACATGTTCACCTCCAAAGTCGTCTTAGAAATCTCACAACGCATCGAAACGAGGATTAAGTCCAAAAGTTGTATGAGGAGAAATAGGCAAAAATAGTGTTTTGACAAAAATGTTAATAAAAATTGCATTTTGTCAAAATATAATGAGTAAAAGCCTTATCAATGTATCATTTAATTGAACTGCCTGAAATATAATCATAAAACAAAATTTTGAAGCACTTTTTTGAGCAGTAGCAACAAAAAAGACTGATTTTGAGGAAAAACACCTTAAAATTTTGAGATTTTCCCTGTGAGTTAGCAAAGTTTTGTTCATTTTTAGCTGGGAAATCTTAATATTCAAATACAATTTGAGGTTTCCTCTTTATTGGGACTCAAAAATCCTCATTAAAAGGACACAAAATTAGGATTCAGACCAAATATTTATGTATTATTGTAACCAACAAGACAAATTAAGTCATATATATGGAATTAATTATGATATCAGAATGATCCAGGTATTAAAATGTAGCTTTTAAAGCCAAGAATCTGAAAATGTAATTAGGTCATTTTGACCAAATTTGACTTAATCCTCATTTTGATATGATGGGTCACATACGTAGGTCTTTGTGCTATATGAGGCATATAGGCTTGTTTGGCTCTAATGCTATACTGTAGTCATATGTTCAATTTTTGCTTAGGTTTCTGTGTTTACTGAAATAATGATGTAGGCAATTATTTTTAGAAGGTTCAGTTTTCAATCTGATGTAAGTAAATAAGAGCCCACATACCTTGAGAACAAGCCAGTTGATTTTTCTTGAACTTTTGGGCAATATTATATTAGTAGTGACACATTAACACAATCAAACTGCTAGGTGCTGGAGAGGAGAAAAAAATTACCCACCTCACCTCAGACCAAGTTTATGCCTGTGAGAGATAATAAGAAATGACAAGTTCTTATTGTGGAAAAGAAGCCCTCACATTTTCCCCACACCCTTGACTCTGTTCTACTGTGAGTAAGGAGAGAAAAAGAGGTGCAGGAAATACTTAACAATGATCTGCTTCCCCTCAGATGTAAGTGTAACGGTCACGCCAGCGAGTGTGTTGATGGGGAACAGGGTGGCCTGGTGTGTGCCTGCCAGCATCACACAGTGGGAGTCGACTGCCAGAGATGTCACCCCTTTTACCAGGACAGACCCTGGGCCAGGGCCACGGGGGACTCCGCCAACGAGTGTCTGAGTAAGTCGCTCGATTCTAGGATGCTGTCATGAACCCATTGGGCGCAGCCATCTGGAAAATCCACGGGGCAAAGTTAAATTCAAGTGACAAGCTCAGGCTTTCGAAGGTTGAGCAAAATCTATCAGTGGGCTTGCCCTTCTACACTGTAGGGGGCGGAATGAGGTTTTCAATTTGTAGGGCCATTGAATCCCAGTCACAACAAAACTCCTCTCATTTGTTTACTTATTTAATTATTATTTTTTTACCATTATTTAACCAGGCAAATCCCATTGAGATCTCAGATCTCTTTTTCAAGGGAGGCCTGGGCCTGAAGGCAACCTATTGTACATGTTTTAGTGTTGTGGGGGAAACCGGAGTACCCGGAGAAAACCCACGTAAGCACGAGGAGAACATGCAAACTGCACAGAAAGACCCCAGGTCCGAACCGGGAATCAAACCCAGGACCTTCTTGCTGTGAGGCGTTGGTGCTAACTACTGAGCCGTCGTGATGCCATGCCTTTTTTTTTGTGGGATTCTGCTTTACAATTTGTCTCTCTCCACAGTTAAATTAGCTTTTTTCCCAGCAGAAACAAAATAAAATGAATGATTTTTGCCGTTTCAGAATGATTTCACTGTGAAGATTATTTTGTACACTCACAAGTTTCAGTCATTAACACATTCTTTGAACACTCATGCATATTTTTATCAAATCCTGATGTTTGTTTGTTTGCACCTCTGCCCCCATCTGCACTTCTGTACACACGAATTAAAGTATTATCCAGTTTGGCTCACCCCACCATGCGCTTCTACTGAGGGCTGCCAAGGATGAAATGTAATTGGCTGAGGGATAAAAACTATAAAGAAAAGTGGCTTCCAAATTGTGTTTTTGTATTTTGCTGAATTCTATTAAGCAGCAAGCTTGTTTTAATTACTCCTACACTTAGTTCCAAGCAGATGGCGTCTTAAATAGACTAGTGCACCCAATTTAATCAGCGCTGTATATTAAAAACACGTCATATACAAGCAGCAGAGAATATGAGAGTATTAAGCTGACTCCTCAGTGTTTCTGCACGGCTGCTTCTAGGAACTCATTCTGACTAGACTTGCGACACACACACACACACACACACACACACACCACTTCTGCATTCATTGTTCAGTAGAACATTTTAATTTTAGTGCTGCATTACACTAAAATTGGGTTTGATTAGTGTACAAATGCTGTAAAGCAAATATCTTGTTTTAGGTGGGAGTATTTTGTCAGTTTAATTTGGCCCGACTCTACTCTATAATGATCCACCCAGAAGAACTGTTATTAGTAAAATAAGAGCTAATGAGAATTTAAAAGGGATGTCTTGAAAAGGCTTTAAAGTATGAGAATAAGGTATGTTTTTAAAAGAACAAAAGTTGCAAAGCATATTTGTCTCCTATTTTTAACCTATTTTGTCAACAGTTTTGATTTTTGCTAAACCAACACAGGAAGCAACAAGTACATGTGCTGTAGAACTTGTTTGTACAGTTTGTGCAATTATTATTACTTTTTATATAAGTCAGTTTAAGTCATGAAATGATATCAATTCCACTAAAAATGTGTTACAACACTGAGCAAATGATCAGTGCAGTCTCAATTTGTCTTCGCAATCAATCTCAAATAAATACAGAAAAAAGTTACAAGTATCAGACTTTTATTTAACTTTTGCATGATTTGGTTCTTCTGCTAGAATTATAACAAGCCCTATTGCAAAACTGTTGTTGTGTAAAATGTAGAAAAAATATGCATGCAGGCTTATTATTAAATACAGTTGTGCACCATTATACTGGAGTTACTACTTAAATTCAGCTTTGGCACAAACATATCACAGCCATGCATGGAGTTATAGTTATTAATATAGATGTTCAACCCTTTGCAACCCTGCAATATCAGTGTCACTTTCCCGAACGTGTGGTGACACATCCTGTTTTGGTAACCGACTATTTAAAAATCAAAGCCTCATTCAAAACAGTTATTGTGAAAAATTACAGATGTCTCCTTTTGGTCTTCGTAATTTGCTAATCTCACAATCCTGAAACACTGTAAACATTAAATGTTGAAACAAAGTAATTGTACTAATTTTAGAACAATTTAATTTATGAAATAAACTTGACCAAAACCACCTTTTAAAAATGTGTATTGTTGGTAGAGTGTTTTTAGTTAAGATAAGAAAGTTTGTTTTTTGTTGTTGTTTTTCCTATGTATAATTATAATACATACTTACATACATAAAGGGAAAGGTACACAGAGTAAGGTAGATGTGGTCTAAATTCAGTACACTGAAAAATTACAAGCCCAAGGATGTAAAGCATATTTTTTTACTCCAAACCCTGGTCTTCATCAGGGATATTTCACAGTGAAAGAATACTCCAATGAGACTTTAATGATAAGAAACAGATTTATCTATCTGCATTATGACCCTCTCTGTTGACTTTCAAGAAAATGATCACAGTTCCTCAAAACCACTGCAGTTGTCAACTTCAAAATGGTTGTGACAGAATTTAAAGTGTATCCCTACTGGTACAGCCTCAGGCTGAACCAATTACAACATCAAGCAAACAATGAAGATCCCAGAGACCCACAGCAACCTGACAGACTACAAATGATTTAATCCTCAGAGGGGGTGAATCTTGATGAGAATTATATCCCATTGCTTCTCCAGCACATCTCTCCACAGTCAACTCCTACGTTTTGCATATTTGTTCACATTTATTTAGGACTCCAAGGCACAAAGGCATGAAGAGAACAGAACTCTTACATTATGATAGACAACCTCACTGATGTTATAAATACTCAAACATTTTCACACACTATTGACACAATACCATATCTAAACCACTGAAATTAATAAAGCCAGAGATGCAAATGATGTAATCTGATTTTTGATTGTGTTTATTGCAAAAAGCTCAAAACTTTAAGGTGTTTTATTAGTTGACCCTATATTTCCAGCTTCTTTAAGAGATTTTCTGATTGACCAAAGTGTACAGTGAAAAATACTAAAGATGCTGGCTTGTATGTGGCAAACTGTGGCATGTCTGTTCTTTGTATTAACTCAACACTCGTGGGTGTTTTTATGTCGACAAATTATATTTCCATTGCATTGGCATGCATTCACTACTGTCCTAAACACATACTGCAAAGAATGAGATAAAACATAATTAACTTTATGTCGAATGAGAAATGCCAACTTTGAATTTATGGATGAGTTCCACCAGAAAATCCTAAAGTGAAAATAATGTTTGAACCCTAGAGGATACAAAGAATAGTAATTATCAGAAAACAAGAAAAATAATATATTCAAGTTCAGAAATTGCTTTATTCTGTAATATTCTCCATGACTTCAGAGCATCAAAAAGACAAAGATCAGTTAATGATTATTAGTCAGTTTTGGCAAACCATCCTCGTTATCCACATAATCCACGTTATTTTAAATAACTAAAACTATTTTTGTAAAATATCTGTCTGATGCTGCAGTACTGTATACATTAATAATATAAATCATGTGTCACATGTTTCAGAAAGATGTTTTTAAATTGTCACATCTTCAATCAAACCTGTGTGAAGGAAGGATGTAGAGGGTGCTGCAGCATACCCTAAAGGATGCCAGAGAACATGCGTGTCCATATACACTGTTCAAAATCCATTCATTAAGAAATAATTACATTGATGATAAATCTAAGAGTTTCACGTGTTTAAATTCTAGTAATATGGTCTTAAGTGTTGGATCTCTGGTATGTAAACATTCATATACGTATCTGTGTTGTTCATCATCATGAACCTGCAAGTTTGATTCTCGGTTAAGTCAGGAAGAGCATCCAGCTTAAGACATTTGCCAAATTTTGTGAATTTGCTTCATGTGGTGACCTCTGCTGAAGGGAGCAGCTGAAAGAATAACAGTGCATATTTTCACAGCTGATCTACAACAAAGTGGGCAGAGTAACGCAAGGTCATGATTTAAGGTTCATAGTCGTATTCAAATAAGAGAACAAGCACTGCCACTGTGCATTTCATTGCAGATATTTGGTGTGTTAATATTCTTCATACGGTGTTTAGGGTCATAGAAAATCCCACATGCTTACAGCACCACCCTCTTAATAATTAAATAAATGGATTTTAGTATTGACCTCAGATTCTGTATGGCAATTTAGAATTATGTCTATGTTAATAAGACATAAAAAGAACAAGCATTTTGTATTGTATCTGTATCCAAAATGCAGCTTTTGTCAATATGCTATAAAGTAGAATAATTGCTGCTTTTCTGCCTCCATGTTCGGTTAGCGAATTTTAGCAAAAAGGTTTAAAATAGAGAAACTTTTAGTTTAATTTTCTACAAGGGCAGTAGCCAGTGCTGGAGCAGAAGGCTTTTCCTCAGCGACAAGAGTTTGGGGTAGAAGGTGGAAAAGGGGAAACGAACAGGAAAACTGGAGCACCCTGCCTTGAAAATGAGCTCTGCTTTGCTCTGTAGATCTTTTCTAAAGAGTATTTTAACTAAGAAAAAAACAGATCCAACTGATTCATTCATACAACAACTGACTGAGAATTTTATTTTATCATTTGTTTATTGGCCTTTAAGTTGTTTAAACATAATGTCAAGTTTGCATTTCAACATCTTCTTAAAATAATCACCCAAATCATTTCCCCCCAAGTTTGTAAAAATCTCAAAAAGGTCATTTGGTACATTTTGGGTTAAGCTTTTGGTGTTTCCTGAAAAAAACTTGAATGAAATGACCTCAGATGATTATTTTGGGATGGTGACAATTTGCTTATTACAAGGGTCACATGAGTGTTATGGTGGCCCCCAAAGCCAGTTGTAACTAACTTCAACATTTTGTGTTTAACTTTAACTAAAAACATGAAATGTCACATTCCTCATTTCATTACTGAGCACCGCTAACAAACAATAACTGAGCTCTACATAATATTTCTGGCTTAGAAACTGTGTTTGAACATGTCCTCATAAACACTGAAAAGTACTACGTGTACAACTGAC